AGGAGTATACTTCACGTTGATTTCTTAATTTTTATTTTCAGAATGAAAACGTTGGGGGGCTATAGCTCCCCTAGGCCTCCCCCAGTCTTATAAACGTTGGGTTTTCAATAGATAAAAAAAGTGTTCGGCCTGGGCGATCATCTTTTGTCTTTTTTAAACTGAGCGCGTTCAACTCTCAATTAAAAAGAACTGCCCTCCCCTCTAATACAATTCAAAACCAATTCCTTACGTTTCAAACGGCCTTAGGCTTAAACTTCCGTCGGATCTGCTCCCACCAAGGAAGAGATCATTCAATGTATTAGCCAGCTCACGAGCCTTGCCCGGTGAGGGCAAAGTTCCAKCCCCTGTAGGTCCACCAAGGGATAGGATGACCTTTTTGCCAAGTTGTTGGCATTTCTTAATGCCTTCTTCAATCTTTGGACAGCGASGGAGATGTGGATAATTTTCAGAGATTGGCTTTTCACAATGGAAACCCAAATTAAGAGATGGTAAAGATCCTACGAAAGAAAAAGAAGGCTTATAAGAAATGTATTAATTGTAGAAGAGCTTATTGTTGCACGGGAAGTTACTAACATATCAGAATCATCAAAAGGAATGAGATCATAAGATATGAAAAAAACAAGAAAAACATCATGGAAAGGATGCAAAAAGACAAATATAAAAATGACAGCCAGGACAGAAGKWATTCGGGAAAGAATAGGATGTCAGCTAAGAAGAAAGGAACGAATGAAAGAACGGAAAATGGAAAGTGGGAGAAGCGGAAAAATGAGATGAAAGAAAGGAAGCGAACACGATTAAAAAGACCCTAATAAAGCAAATATGGCCAAATAAAAAGGGCAAAATAAATAAGGATTCGATATTATAATGAAGAAAGGAACTAATGTGCGGTGCAATAAATTAGAAAGAAAAAAGTAATAAATAAAGCCATAATAGTGAGATAAGAAATTAGGTTTAGTAACCACAATACCTTTATTTCGAYTATCAAACAAGGTGTTCACAAACGAGACTTTAAGTATGTCAAACTTGGACTTTGCGCATGTCTCAGCCAGGGAAAGTTCGTAGGCTTTACCCGAAACGCCACCTTGAGGTGCCCAAGCACTGTCTTGGCCCCAGGCTACCACTAGACGCTGACGTCCAGAATAGCCCAGTTCTGTATAAAGAAATAGATTGCGAAGTAATCAAGATCTTTATCCTCTAACTGTGTAGGACGAGGAGGAAATTGACCTTTCAGAACAAGATCTAAGTTTTCATAGACTTCATAGTGACACACATTGTTATTTTTAAGTTAATTTTTTTTTTAATTCTTCCTTTTTGTAGCATAATTAACTTAGCTTAACACTTAATTAATTTAAGAATTTTTATAGTTTTTAATCTTACGTATTATATAGTATTTTAATAGTGATTTTATATATATATTTAGTAATTTAGGGAGGGCCACAAGTTTGTTAGTTTTTACTATTATGTGTTACCCTCAAG